CTACCGCCTTGATTGCCACGGTGGTTACAATTATTATCGATGACTCGCGTTAGTAAACTTTTTACGCCGACTAAAATAAAATAAACTTCATGGAGTAAAAAATGTTCAACAATGCGAATGACAATTAGATAACATTGTGAGAAGCAAGTACGCAGATACGATATAATATTTCGCAAAACGCGTTAAAGTCTCCGATGCGTTTAACTCTTTGCGGTTTTCGCACAGCGTTCGCTCACACTTGCGTCTTACGCTACACCATAATGCAGATCGCCGTCGGTTAAATAGCTACGCAAAACGGATCAAAACGTCGTTCGTTTTCCTACGTTGCTCTTCGACTAAAAGACGATACGCGAAGAGTTTGTATCGATAGCGTGTATAGTAGGTCACCAAACCAGAGCGACAGGTTTCCTAAGCGTCAAAGTTTCGGTCGAATAGCAGCGTTCCGGTAGAATGTACAAGTTTCGTCCAGCCGTGGCCGATGGGAGGCAATTGATTCTGCAGTTAGACAAATCTGCCTATATAGCTGTGCCAGACAGTCGCGTCAATGGACGAAACGAGAAGGTCGATGTTAAAAGAGAATCGAAGGAAGATCGAAACGCTCCATGAACGATTCGTAGAATCTGCGTCAAGCGGCAGAAAATGATTTTAGAGAACGGCCCAGTGTAAGCACGCGCGCTTACCACAGCACAGATAGAATATCGCGATAGAGTGGAAATACCGATCCGAAAGCTTCGTTCGAATCAGTCAAATTACTCGAACTCGAACAGTTTCGGTTCGAATAACTCGAACAATCTGATTTCAACGGAGTACTTGGAAATGGAAAATAGAAAGGAAGAAGTGGTTCGTAGTACGTACGTACGAACTATTAGGCACAAAATTATTGGCACAGATATTAAATCAAAAAAGGAAAAAGCGTCGGTCGAAGGATTCGTAGAAATACTTTTAATACTTTTAATACTCTTTTATTGCGATATATGCTTTACGCTTTACGCTATAAACTGGCCGAATGATAAAGCAACGACGGTACACGATAAACGCCTAGCTTCTTGGACTTGGCAAAATTATCGACGTTTCGTAAAGAAGACAATTACAATCGAAAGACCTTGCTTCAAGCGCCTTGGTCCGAATAACAATTTTTAAAGGTTTCAATAATTCCTAATCATTTCTAACGTTTTTCTCATCTTTCATAGCCATTCTTCGTATCAAGCGTGCCAGTAGGTCACGAGATAATAAGAAACACAAGCGTAACGTCGATAAATCTATCGCTATAACGAATTCCAACTTCTGCCGATAATCTATAGGAAAAATACAACTACGCTTTCTAGACGCATTCCTGTAACGATACGCAAAATTATCATTTCTTACAACGTTATCCCATACCATTACCTCATTCTGTTTTACAATATTCCTTCCCATTGCTGATCATTTTCAAGACACAGTTTGCCCCAGTTACGTGGGTCACCTTGCACAACAGTGGCCTTTTCAAGATTTTCCAGCGTGACTTGATCTCGTTTATTCGAAAATTCAAGGCTGAAGAAGATTATTCCAAATTGTAATTGGAACAATTTACCCTTTTCCTAATATCGTGCTGAACTTTCTTTTTATAGTTTTACGAGTGTATCCTGATTCAAAATTTTTATAATCTTCGATATCGTATCGCAATCGTTAATTTTTTCTTAAAACTCCACTAAACTCCTCTCTAATCCTTCGATCGAAGAGGATCGGATACACTTTTCAGTTAAAGCTAAAGACATTTTCGTTTTTTAGTTTTATTTATTTCAAAAATAACAACACGTAGGTGCAAGAACAATAATTTAGTTCGCAACGTTAATCGAATTACGAATTAAACCAAGTAGCAATAAATACTTCGCTGATAAAAATTTTAATTGTTTCGTAAAGAATAATACGTACCGCCCCTGTTATACCGTCTCTACCTAAGTTTCTCGTTTCGCTACGATCGACCGAAGCGGATATTTGAAATCTAAAGAATTTTTTAACAAGCACCTAATTGCCAGGAACCTCGATCGTCGACACCAAGTTGCGCTAAACACATCTAATCTCAAAATCTAATCCACCGATCTGCGACATCCGCAATTGTCGAGTTACCGTGAAATACATGCTTTTAAATTACCTTAAATTCAATTACTGTCGCAACTAATACGAGAATAAAGGAACTTAAACGAAAATCTCTGTAATAAAAATCAAATTTCTGGAAAACGTGTCGTTATTTGACAAAATCTAACTGGCAGATCCCTGTCCGCCCGTATTGTCGTCGTCAATAAGTGCACGTAAGAGCGGTTGATGCGATCTTCCCAATTCATCGTTCGCGTCAAATTCGTCTATATTCGAGACGACGTGTCCTAATATTTCTCTTATCTTATTTTTATATTTTGGCCCGAAAAATTCTTATTCGCTCGAGATACGATTCGTTCAACGTCCTGTATTTTTATTAAGCGAAGTATTTTTCTCGCTACGTTCTTCGGCTGTTTACAGAAATTGATCGATAATCAGTTTACTTAATACGTACGATACCTAACTCAAAAGTTAACTTAACTTAAAATAAACTGCTTTGTTCTTGTAATTCGTTTCGACTAAAAAATGGCATCTTTCTATTGGTTACATCACGGTGTTCGGGAAATAGCTAGAGTATTCGACCGTATTTATGCATCCATTCGCATATCTTGCCTTGTTCGTTGCAACACGGACATATAGCAGTCACGCCTATCGTACGAGGTTATCTTCATCTGCAATGTTCGCTTCTATTCGAATGTGAACGATAAATCGTGAAAAGGTTTCTAGGAACGTGTCGATGGTCTCGGTAATGGAAAGCACGAGTGGCCTGCACGAGAACTTTACGACGATAAAAGTTCTTACTTGATGAATATATGTTCAGTGTGTGTGAGTGAACGAACCGATTAAATTTGTTCATATTAAAACAGATAAAATACTCGGTATATCGTGTATAAACGTAAAGTGTATAATCGTTATATAAGTGTATATCATCGATCAAAAACCGCTTAGATAAATAGCTAATTATTTCGCCTACGACACAATAAAAATGTTTATTTTTAACTAGAAATAGTCGTAAGATTAAATATATTACGCGCAAAGTTGGTTAGTAGTCTATTCTTTCGAGTAAAGTATCTGTTTATAGATTTTTCGTCGATACTTGCAAATATCTCCAAATTCTTAAGTTTCCTTTGAATGTAACCTTACGCGTACCACCCAGTACCTTACGCGTACACGTACCAAAACTATACCTGTGAGCGCGGGATAAACTTTTGTTGCTTGAAATAGCGTTTAACTCCGATAACCGCAAAAATTTTATCAAAGAATATTGATAAGTCACACGATGATAGAGTATATCGTTCGACCGATACTACATATTTAACAGAATCGAAAAGACCAAATAATTTTTTAAGCAAATAAACTAATGTAATCTATACCGTACGCGTTGAAGGATATTAACCTGTCGCAAAACGACTTCTCGTACGAAATTTCGTCGTTCTCGAATATATCGTTCGAGAAAAACATATTACAGCTCCTTGACTATAAACGATACAACCTTATTCAGAGAACTTTGATCTAGTTTTCATAAAGGCACTTATGCTGGAAAGATCATATGCTCGAATAAAAATCTGTTTAAAAAGTTGATTTTGTTGACTCTATCAGAATCGATGTAGGTTTTCGAAGATACGAGCTGAAATACAAAACGCGTGGAATTTTCATTTATATGTAGATGCCACAGAATCAGAGATATGCTTGTTCAAAAGCGACATATAAAATACAAGAGGTCACTTTACTCCTGAAAAAATTAAAATCTTTTATTAATAGCAACAATCTGCGCTTTAAATTCACATATGGAAAATAGCGTAAAGTAAATATAATTATTATATAAGGAGCATTCAGCCATTCACAGTGCCATCTACGCCACCTTATTCTGTGCCATTTTATTTTTCGTAGAAAACGATTTTACACGTAAAAATTATTTAACTGTTTTTTAGTTTAGTCCGAGAAAGACACGGCCGAGCAAAAGCCGTTCGATGTATTATAACGCTCTAAGTTTCTCGTGTTAAATATCGTCAACGCAATTATTAATATTTATTTCCTGTAAAAGGTAGTTTTTATTATGGTATTTTTCGTATTCGAACCGCAAAATAATTATTTTCTAAATCATTCGTCATAAAGGATTAATATTCAGTTCGTCTCTTCCTTGCTTTCCGATGTTATACTAAATGTGAACTATAACTGTATCTTCCTCGTCATGCTTAATGAATAACACGTCATAATTATTGGAATTTGAGCAACGCTCTCTCTCGTACGATTAATCTACATACGTAGTCAGATACTTGACATCCGAACAACTAGATAGACGTAACGTAAATTCATCGTAAACGCAGTAAAATTTGCATTATCGTATTTGTGATATGCAAACATTGTTCGATCAAACTATAAGCTGGTCGATATAATTGTAAGTATACGTAACTTTTTGCTTATTAAAATCTTTAGCTAGATTTCATTGTATGGAAAGCGATGGATGTCCGGGAGGAAGAGAATGCCATTTGTCAGAGCATCGATAGAGAAACGTAAGGACGTTAGTAGTACTACCATTATAGTAAATAAAATAATTACTAACCCGACCCAGGTTAAAGCTAAGGCTGAGCTGCGGAATATTTCTGCATAACGCGGCATCACGTGACCGGGCACGAATTACCTGCATTCATCGCAGTAATCATAAATCGTAACGATGCCGTTGGCAAATGTTCAAGGATATTGGTCAATGAGCGATATCATTTGCTTTTCCTTTTTTCCCCCGATACATCTATCATCGGTTTTGGTTTACCCAAACTTTGCGAATGCTTCGTTCCAAGACATGTTCGTATCGAACGTAATCTCTCTCTCTCTCTCTCTCTCTCTCTCTCTCTCTCTCTTTAGAAAATACACTAAACAATAGTGTTATTTTGCCATTATTCGTCGCTTGTCCCAAAGAGAGGAGAAGTATGGGTTTTCTATAATTTAAGCGACAAGCAAAAAGATCGCTGTCAGACGACTGAAGATAGCAACTAAACTCTCATATACGTACATATAAGCGATAAACGATTAATCGGAGTACTGAACTTTGTCATTAGCTTCTACAAAGCCCTTTTGCTACAAGCAGTGCGTATAATAATAAACGATACTCGGAGGATCCCCCACTCCTCTGCCACTAGGTGAAAATGAAGCATCAGATCCACAAGACTAATAATACGTGGACATATATCACGGAAGACTGGACAATTCCGTTAGCACGGAGGTTGGAGCTCAACGAGGTGCGTTCTTAACGACTTATCGAAGCATACGAGGGATAAGCTCGGCTCAATGATCACTATGTGTAATCAGGTATAACGTTACACGATGCTTACACGGCCCCAAGAGCCCGAGTCTACTATTTTGTGCGCTAGTAGAACTGTGAAAATGCCTTTTTACGAAGCAACCGAGCATATGCGCCATCGTAGCTCGACCATACGCTGTCACAGCCCTATGGACCGAGTGAGACGTTGCACGGGTGAAATGTTTCACCAACGAGACTCAAAGGATAGTTAACAGTTAACGGCCATGCGACCATACCGTCATCCTATCCCGCACCAATCGACCGCGATGTGTACCCTCGCACCCTTTATCCTCTTTTTCTCGCTTCGTCCTTCTCTCTCTCTGGTCGCTTACTTTTGATTCGTTTGTTTTATACCTTAGTAGGTGCCAATCCAAGATTCGTTCGCGTATCGCGAGCGAACAGATTTCTTGATAAACGCGAAACGTTGAAATCGAGACGAAATCTATATAGGTCGCGGACTGAAAGGATATCGTTACGGAGAAGATGCGTTATCTTTCAATTTATTTACATACACTGTACATACTTGACGATCAGTTCATCGAGATACACGCATCGAGTACGTTCTGTGCATGCACGCACGTAGCTATATAGTCTCTTAAAAATATCGCGATTATTGGAAACTATAGAATTTCTACACGTTTCTATGTATTTTTCCAACGACTAATTAATCGTATAACTTCACGTTTCAAAAACTAATCGATCCTAGACTTGAAAACTATTTAACTCGAGCGCTACGTTTACTTCGACACGAGAGATTATTTGTTTGCCGTTGAATTTACGAGTCAACCCTGCAAACAGTTATTAAGTCAAGTAAAAAAAAATAATCTTTCAAAATAATTGAGACAGAGATCAACTATCGTTTCCAAGCGAAAGTAGATTTAGTATACGTTTCATACGTTCATCTTTTCTAAACCATTGTTCTAGAAAATTTCGACTATACAAGATCCACTTTCTATCATAAGTAAAACATTCGAAGGCAGAACAAAGATATATAGTAAATATATCGAACAAGAGATAGGGAAAGAAAATACTGCTTAGAAAAGCGCTTGATGAAAATCACGCGACTGTTACATTGTTTGAAAAATATGCAATAGCGTTTAAAGCAGAATTTGTGCATAAGGTGTTGTTATTGATCGTGTCATCGGAATGTGTAATCGTAGAACCAGAAAAATTCGTTATTAAAGTCCAGACTGTCTAGATAAAAATATGATATTGAAAACTAAGATGCAAACGTACGCTTAAAATATCAGTTTATAATAATTAATCGGCTTATGTGCCTTCGTTGATATCGTATAATTGAGAGATTATATCGTATAAAAGATGAAAGAGTAAATAAGTTAAACATTTAAGAAGAAAGCAAATTTAGGCCTTATATACATAGCTCAGAATAAATATGACTTTGCTCATCGATGCTTTTTACGGAAATGTAATTAACGTTCATGAAAAAACAGAAACAAAAGTTTTACTCGATATCGTGCTTACGATCGAATTAAAATAAAAATACCCCTGCTATCACAAGTGTTATCTAAAACAAATACGAATACTTCAACTTTGGTAAAATATTAAATACAAGTATTTCGATTCTTTTAATCGAATGTGTGTGTGTATGTGCGCGCGCGTATATCGCTTAACGTAAAATAAACCCATGCAAAATCCATTTCACTTTCTCTACCTTTTTCTCTTTCAGACAAGCGACGAATAATATGAGAACGAAAGCCTTTCATCCGAAAGGTTATTTCTCTCGCTGTTTGTTATGAATTATCTTTGATAATATCAACGAAGGCATTGCCGCTTTCCGACCGCCCCCTTGATTCATTTTCCAATGAAAAATCACCGTCCTTGAATTTCAAGACTTGGAACATAATTTCTTCAAAATGCCAAATTTATATGCTCTCAGCGAATTTCATGATCACGGACAAAGAAAAATGACTAACGAAATTCCAATAGTTCTGTCTATTCTAAACTAAGTATTCAACGTTCACCGTATGTACAACGATGACAAAAACTATTCACATATACATCCTTATTTTCCAATGAAGCGCTTTTACCGTGATACTTGGTCGAAAGTGTTTTCAGTGTCTAGGAAAACAGGATTGCAAAAGGTTGCAATTACTATCAAATTGAGCTTTTAATACCCAAGTTATACCACGAAGTGCGCTTTTATCAGTACAAAATAAGCATAACTTACGATATATTGCTATTTCACACCGCATCTGTTTCATCTGTCATACTAACATAACCTCTCTAGATAGAATGGAGGACACTATTCGTCGCGTCTTTGCTCTCGCTTACGTTTCTACGTTTTTCTTTAAACTTCTCACACGGACTCGCGCCAACTTGTTCAATTTCGTACGAATTTGGTGACTGGATATGCGCGAGCTTCAGTCGGTTACTTTTTCTACATTTTTGCGCGTTTTTCACGCCCGTGATTTCCGTCAACCTCCTCTGTCTTGTTACTTTCAAAGTTCCTTTCTTCACCGTCGCTCACCCTGTACAATGCGTATGCAATGTGTAGGTTCGCGCGAGCGCCTTTCTCCCCTACTACGTTCTTTGCTTATTTATCCATCTCGAGCGTTTCTATTTCCTTAACCCTATGGAACTTTGATATTTATGACAGATCTAACGGTAAATTTAATAATAGTAAATATTTTATATGAAATTTGAGTAGTATCGAGAGATCGATAGACTGCAAAAAATAGTTTCGAGTTTACGAAGCTTACCATTATTCCGTAAAATTAGGACTTGAAAGAATCGAATATTCGTTGTTTCCTAAATAGAATTTTCGTCATATTATCATGACATGGATGATCATGACATGACGAGGACATATATGTGCACTGGTTTCTAATTACATTTTTTTGAAGGATGGAATTAGAACAGTTACGAACCAGGGCGACGATATTCGAATCGTTGAGAAATTATTTAAATGGAAAATAGTCCAAAGCATATAAGAAATCGATAATGTTATTTAGGATCGTTTGACGTTCGAGCAACAAGTTCCTTAACCTACAAACCGGTTGGCAGCGCCGCTGAATACATCCACGCGAACGAGCGTCAACTAAAGTCGACGATACGTTATCGCTACACAATTACAACGTACTGTTGCTCGTGACCGTCGTGCGACACTACGCGACGACCGAAAAGGTTTTAAAGAAGGAATCGATAAACGGTAAGCATAGAACGTAGAATGCTGAGAAGCAGTAATAGGAGTTAACGGAGATTATGTTATCGATTATCGTATATCAATTCCGTAAATAGAATAAAGTGGCATCTAACGCGTTAGAGACGCAAAAACTTTCAGTTCTATCCGATCCACGAACGATAAATTTTTGTAGGCTGAACAACGCTACGCTTTTGCTTGCAAGGTGCATCGATTACAGAAAGATGATGCTCTAATGGTTACCTTAACGTGGATATTCTCGTCAGAACCATTTGTTAATTCATGCGAGGACACCTCATCGTAACTCTTATTCGCTCCGCTCAGTAAATTACTAAACGAATTATTTACGCCTCTGATGAAAGAGACTCGCGATGCTCTCGATTAGTGCCCAGTCGAGCTTAACTGCGCTCCCTTAGTAATCGTCGTCATGCAACCTTGTACAAGTGTCTTTAGCTTACACCCTATTTCTCGATCAGCCACGAATATACGTGCTTTCACACTGAAACATTTCCTCTGAAGCGAACCCTTCGAGTTAACGAGACTTTGCTTCTGCGCGTCGATTTTCCCTTGTTCCTTTGCCTCTTAAAATAACTTTCTCACCTTCCCCTACCTCTTCTCCTTTCCACTTGTGCCCAAACAGCTAATAATTATTTTCAATCTACTTCTGTTACTCCTACGTGTACCAATTTTAAAATTTAATGAAAAAGAGTTAATAAATGAGTTGATACATCTATTCGTTGATAATGTATCATTATCATATTCAAAAACATTATTCGCATCAAAACATCTGTTACAAAGCATAGAATATTAAAATTTGTCATTAAAGACGTAGCATTAAGTATGAGAAGATCTTGAGATAGTTGAAGTTTTGATGGCATTGATGCAGAGATTGACATATTGGTTATGATCAAAATTGAAAGTCTTATAATTTTTTAATCGTGTAAGACATATTTTATCTTGTAGTTACTATCCAAACTCTAAGTTATTCATCGTTTGACTTCAATGGAAGCCAATTTATAAAGTATGAAATTAATTCATATACCATATGCAAAAGTACTTGTTCTTAGCTTTTAAAACAAATCTATAATAAAACATGAAACTTTATACAAGGTTCTTAAAAAAGTAGAGAGTCGACTAACTTAAGAAGATGAAACTTTATTAAATTTTGACTAGTAATGATCGAAATTCTAATAAACTTTGATAAGTATAAGATCAGAGACTCTAACGTAATAGTTTGAAATCTAAAAATTAAGTACCTATGATTTTTGAACTATGCCAGGCATCTGTAATCTTGTAATTCCATATGAAGACTTATTAAAGCCTACTTTTGTTTCAATAGAAGAATACAAATCAAATTTTCTAAAAAGTCTTACTTCTTAGTTGATGATATTTAAAATTGCAAAATATATAGAATATAATTGATCAATGTATGATATACTTCAAAGCTACTTACATTCTTGCCTTTCCAGCCCTTGTTGCATCTTCCTTAAAGAACAAGAAGAAGTCCAGGCTGTGAGATATCTGTAACAAAACATAAAATATTACAATTTGCTCTTGAAAGCACATTTTGTTGATTAAAATATTTCAGACAGCAAAAGGTGACATGCTATTAAATTTGAAACTTTAGCAATGATAGAGTCTAATGATCTAATAAACTCCAGTAAGTATAGGAATTGGAACTTTAATATAAACGTTTAAAATCTAAAAATTAAAAATACAATGATTGGTTTCTGATGAGTGTCAGACATTTTTATTTCAACATTGGCTATTAACGTTTGCAGACTTTACTCCAGTAGGAAAATATTTATAACTTTTCATGTGATCGATCATCTTTATTTTTTTGATTAACACAAAATACAAAAAATTGAATAAATTGAAGTACAATATACAAAACTACTTACATTTTTCAGCTCCTGGGAAGGCTTTATCTTCTTGGCAGATGCACTGACTCTAATACCGGAAATGAACATTTAAGAAAAGAAACATAAGAAAGAGAAGAATAACGCTACGTTAACGCGACCGGTTATAAAATATAATCGACAAACAAGAACTCTAACATTGCGTGCAAATTCACTTGATAAGATTCTACGACTTTCGCGTATTATTATTTACACAGATTTAATCAAAGCGATCGTGACTTGGAAACATTGAAATAAACTATAATGTAAACACTGACTCTACCAACAGCATCGCTCGCGATCACAAGTATTCTTTGAAAATAAAACTGT